TTGAGAAAAGAGATGGCCTGGCAATTTCACTTGGCGTGGAGGTTTTAGATAAATAGTTAATTTTGTTTTTACAATATAGCATGAATCTCAAATTTAATTTTATGTTTTTAATTACGTTAATTATATTTTTGAATAATATTAAGTTTTAAATTTGTTTTTTCAATTATTTTTTTAACAGTAATGTCAGGATTAAAATGAAATAAAATAAAAATATTGAGATAAATTAAAGATTCAGATTATTATATAAAAGAAAAATTGAGCTTTTTTTTTTTTAAATCCAGAGTGGAATTATTGTTGAAGTTGAAAGAATACAAGGGATTTTATCTTTAACAGATGTTGGTTATGGGCTTATTGCCTATTGGGCAACTCCATTGGGTCTGCATAGACTTAGAATAAGTTTTTAACATGCTACCAAAACCAATAATATGCTCAGTCTAATTGTTTTAATCTTTTAAATTTTTAAAAACTTATTTGATTTTGTTATATTATGTTATGGTTATTATATTATACTATGAAAGCTGTGTTGTGTTGTGTTGCGTTATATTGTAAGATTAAACACGTTAAATTATTTACTAATGAAATAAAATTAATGTGTGATGAGTAAAATCATTCAACTAAGTTAATCTATTACCATATTGTTTGAACTAAAACTACAGATAATAACACAACTTCAAGATTTTCATTAAGAAATTAAAATAAATTACTTGAAAACATGAAAAATATTTTCATAACTAAAATCAAAAGTCATGAGTAATATAAAAAGTAAAAGAAAAAAAAACAATAATTAAAACAACATGTATGTTTTTCATCATTGGTACAAAAACTATATATTAAGATAAAACATACAACATTGGTATTTTATAATTTAACATTATTTTTTTAAAAATAAAATAAACAACATTTCATCTCAAAAAACATCTCTTCTCGTGCTTTTTAAAATGAAAATTAATATATATTTAAACCTTCTTTTATAAACATCACCTCTCACACTCAAAAGTTAAGCAACCGTTTTTAAAATCTTTACCAAATATGTTTTTAGTATTTTTAATTACTTTATTTTAAAGTAAAGTAATAAAAATAAATATATTTGATTTTAGTTAATAAAAAAATTTCATTACTCTTAGGTTAGAATAATAATATTTGGGTAATGGGTAAAAAAATTATGGTTGCCAGAATTACCTCGATTGGGTCGTGCAAAATCCGAGCAGGGAAGTTTTAATCTGGGCCGGGAAATGAAAGATATTCGGGTAGTTTGTTACCTCACCTGAAAAGCTCGTTTTTAACCCAAATTACCCATTCACTCACCCTTACCCCTTGGGTGGGATTAATCGCTTTAGCACGAAACGTAAATGTACAGCAATTTGTACAAAACGTTCAAGTTCACTGTATAAAAGTTAAAAATCTAGAGTTTAATATCAAATTAAATACAATTCAGGAACAAAATTGAATGAAAACTACTTGTTTTGGTGACTATGGATTAATCATTGATAGGTGAAAATGAAACGATGAGGGTATTTTTGTTGGAAATCCAATGTTTCAATAGAGTTCAATGCTTTTGTGCATGTACACATCCATTTTTTTTTTTTTTTTTTTTTTTTTATTTTTTACCTTCTTCTCAATATGAATAATTGAAATTGGCTTTTACTTCGTAAACAAATTAGTTACACTTGAAATTCTAGTTTGAAGCTGTCTTTTGCTTTGAGTATTTAGGGATTTCGGAGATTTCTTTGGGTTGTAATGGTAAAAGGATGAATCCATTTTTGGGTTTTGACCTAAGCATTTATGTTGTGGGATTCTAATTACGACCATGATATAAGAAACAAACTCTCTTTATTTACTAAACTAAACCTTTTTAAGAGTGAAAATATAGAAGATGATATTTACTTTTGTGTATTTCGAAATAATTGTTCAATTAAAACTTTGAAGATATGGAAAACAAAAAAAAAAAAAACATTACATGTGATATGTAAAATAATATGTCTGATTCGATGACCGTCATGATAATTTAATGTAACCATGAAATAAAATTTTATTTGAAAATTTTCACATAAAATCAATAAGTTTCATTTTTTATATGTTGAGAGGCTCGTCCATACTCAAATTTATGTATTTATAAGTAATTACTTTTTATGATCTTATTTAGAATTTAAATCACCAATTAGCATAAATATGTTATAAAAATGCAAATAAAAATAGATTAATCTTAAGGCAGGACATTGTTGTTTGTCATAGAAAATTCAAGAAAAGGACAAAAAAAAAACAAAAACAAAAATCTATCCTCCTCACGTGACTATAAAAGAATACAAGAACGTCAATCAATCTCGATCCATAAACAAGAGTCGTGCAAATGTCTAATCGGATCTAACCATCAGAGATTAAGACTCATCTAGATCCAAGTGGAAACCACGTGCACAACACATTCTTTTGAATTTTGCAGAGATCAATTCTTTTTCTCAAAATGGACCTTTGTTGATCGAGTACAAAATGTAGAAAGTGATTGATGCTAAGTGAGGTTTATCTACATATTTTCTTTTTCATTCCTTCATGGTGAAGTATCTATCATCCTCACCGTCTCCATCCAAGACAGTGCACGAACAGAGCAATGGTTTCAAAAATAACAAAGGAGTGCTCGAGCTAGGGTTCAAAAGTTTCCCTGTCAAGTGCAAATAAACCATGGAGAGGTGCTGACATGTCTTCCTAAAGTTGCACTTGAATGTATAAAGCCACACCTTTTTTCTTTTTTAAATCCAAAGATCTTGCTCAAAATATCCGAATATATGTCATTTCTTTTAGAAGTTGACAATGAGTCACCTTCCAATTTTATTCTTGCAAAATTCCTCTACTTAAATTTTTTTTCAAGCTCGCCGGATCTCTAATTTAAGAACTATTTAAATCTAAATTTTTCAAAATAAAACTATGAGTATTGTCAACAAGTTGTTGTTTTAGTAATAAGCGAGTTGATTTTTAGAAGATTTTTTTTGTCAATATATAAAGTTCAAATCCTAAAATCGTATTTATTAAGAAAAATTAAATTTTATCGCTCTCGCTTTAAATATAATTAATTTCATTTTCAATACGAGATGAAGATATTTAGATAAAATTAAAAATAAAAATTTTCAAGCATTAATTGCTAGGTGTTTTCATCAAACCAAATCAATTTCCAATCTAACTATCTCCATATGTTTTGCCATGATTTAATTTGTGCAATGTGCCGGTTGTTATGCTTATTTTTTATTTGTATTGTTATTGTTGTATTATACCTCTACATTATGGAAATTTAATCCATTTAAAACCCAACTTCTAGACTTATAAATTAAAGTAATCACATTGAATTATTTTCTAATTAAATCATACTACACCAATTCAACTCATTGGTTGATTAAATGTTTGTGTCTGTTTTCAGTTGAAAAAAATTGTAAAAGATTTACATCATTGAAAAGTATAAGAAACAATAAAAAAAATCAAACAAACCGCATGCATATAATGTATTTTACATTTTTAATACATATCCAATTTAAATGTTCAATTGTTATCGAATTTTAAAAGAAATATTACAAATTATATTATACAATTTAATATAAAAAAAACTTAATTGAAAAACAATTAGGACGTAAATTACATATAATCCAACTAATAAATTATTATAATTTTTTAAATAATTTAGGGTCTCGATAAACAATAATCTCGAATCTCTCAACATGCACTAAATTAATGTAAAAGTTGAGCTTTAAGATTAGTTAGAAGAAATTCTAATTTTAATTAACAAATAAATCGATCCGATAATATCCATATGGTGTGGAATAAAAAGAGAAAGGGGCAAAAGCGGAAAGACGGAAGAAAAAAATTGGAGCAGAAGGGTTTGTACAAGAAGCATAACCTTAACCTAACAACGCAGTGTACCGACCTATAAATAAGCACAAAGACACATAACAAAGCCTCTATCAAACTCCACGGCGCAGATCCGAGGAGTTTGGGATTTTTGATTTCTCGCTACAAACTTCAGGTTCCTGACAACCTCTCTGTTTTCCTTTCCGGTTATCAGTCACTCATTCACTACCAGGTCTTTCTCTCTCCGTCTCTCTCTATACTTTAGTTTTGTGTGTCTGTGATGTGGTTTTGTATTGCTTGCTGTCTCGGACATTTAGATTGATTGATTTTTGTATGTTTTTTATATTTGAGCTATCTGGGATTTCGGTATTGAGATCTGGGATTGATCTGTTTTCTTATTTTGTTGGTAAAGTTTTCATCTTTTTTTCATCGATTGTTTTGTTTTTGAGCTGTTAAGAGTTAGGTTAACTGGTGTTTTTCTGTTGAACTTAGTCCGGTTGGAGATAAGCTAAACAACAAAGTTTTTTTTTCCTAGTTAAAAAGCAAATTAGATAGGTTCAGAGCTTTGTGTCATTGTAAGTTTAGTTCTTCAGTGGGTTTGTATGGGATGCTTGTTTGATTACAGTTGTTTATGCGTTGGTTTGATAATCTCTTGACGCTATTTATATCATATTATTGCGTTTCCTTTATTAAAAAATATGAATTTAATTTAATTTGATGTAACGGGTACTCTGCTGTGATACCACACATATGATTCGTGATGATGTCTTAAAGAGTTTGTGTCCGTCCGTGATTGCCATGTTTATCTAACAGAAGTTGAAGCCCTTCTGGGTTCTTGCCCTTGATCCAATTTTTTGGAGGAGTGGGTGAAGCAGTGTCTGATAATTAAGGATCTATGTCCAAAATTCAGTTTGCTGTTTGCCCCTTGCATATCTTCTCCAGACAATGAAACAGAAGTTTAATGCTTGTACTCCTTTTTTTGTTTGGTTTGCAAGTTTGGCTCTTCTGTGACATTTTATTTTCACTTCAGTTGGCTATAAGAATCATTCATTATCTTTTGTGGCGATATTAATGAATACTTTTGCTTGACAATAAATTTTCCTTTTTGTTTGTTTGGTAATTATGGAAGCATTGGATAGATGCTGTAGCAGGATATGTTTTACCTGTTCAGCATGCATGTCATTAACCTTAATCCACAAGTGACTTATGCTATCCTCTGTGCAGTCATGGCAGCACCAGAAGGATCGCAATATGATGCAAAGCAATATGATGCCAAAATGAATGATTTGTAAGTTTCTTCTTTGAATTTCTGGCTGGATGGCAACAGTTCTTGTTTGGAAAATATAATTGACATTCATGTATGTCTTGACAACAATGCAGGCTCACAAATGATGCACAAGATTTCTTCACAATGTATGAGGAGGTTTTTGAGACCTTTGATTCGATGGAATTGCAAGAGAACCTTCTGAGGGGCATCTATGCCTATGGTAGGTATTGACTGGCTTTGTATCTTCACATGTTCTTTTGTTTGGCACCTTAATCAGTGATCTTAAGATATGACTGTTTTAGTTGCAGTAGCAAACCTATCCTTGAGGTTCTTTTGTTTTGCATTCTGATTTTAACTGATTTTTACCTCTCGATTCTCAATGGATTTAAAAATCTATGACTGGTGGAACCTACATATTTGACCTATGCTTGTTGGAAAACTTCTAACCCTTCTTTTATGATGCTTAGATTCTGTTCTGTTCCATCTCTTTCTTTCTCATTCTGATTAATGCATCCTATTTTCTTTTTTCAAGGTTTTGAGAAGCCATCTGCCATCCAACAAAGAGGAATCGTTCCATTCTGCAAGGGCCTTGATGTGATTCAGCAGGCTCAGTCTGGAACTGGGAAAACAGCAACTTTCTGCTCTGGCATTCTCCAGCAGCTTGATTATGGCCTAGTGCAATGTCAAGCATTGGTCCTGGCTCCCACTAGGGAACTGGCACAACAGATTGAAAAGGTTATGCGAGCACTTGGTGATTACCTTGGTGTCAAAGTTCATGCTTGTGTTGGTGGCACAAGTGTTCGTGAGGACCAACGCATTCTGCAAGCTGGTGTTCATGTTGTTGTTGGCACACCTGGTCGTGTGTTTGACATGTTAAGACGGCAGTCACTTCGTCCAGATTACATTAAAATGTTTGTCTTGGATGAGGCTGATGAAATGCTTTCCCGTGGTTTTAAGGATCAGGTCTGCCTTCATACTTGATTCCAAGTTTCGTTCATTGTCCGTTTAGAGACTTGACAGCTCTTTGTGCTCTTGTTTTTTTTCTCTTGTTCTAACACTGTTTTTTCCTGTCCTGTCAGATCTATGATATTTTCCAGTTGTTGCCATCTAAAGTTCAAGTTGGTGTGTTCTCTGCTACTATGCCTCCTGAAGCTCTTGAAATCACAAGGAAGTTCATGAACAAGCCTGTGAGGATCTTGGTTAAGCGTGATGAACTTACCCTTGAAGGTATCAAGCAGTTTTATGTCAATGTCGATAAGGAGGAGTGGAAACTCGAAACACTCTGTGATCTATACGAGACCCTAGCCATCACCCAGAGTGTTATTTTTGTCAACACACGACGCAAGGTTGACTGGCTGACAGACAAGATGCGAAGCCGAGACCACACAGTCTCGGCTACACATGGAGATATGGATCAGAACACTCGTGATATCATCATGCGAGAATTCCGGTCCGGCTCTTCTCGTGTTCTCATCACAACCGATCTCCTGGCTCGTGGTATTGATGTGCAGCAAGTGTCCCTTGTCATAAATTATGATCTGCCGACTCAACCTGAAAACTACCTTCACCGAATTGGACGAAGTGGACGGTTTGGAAGAAAGGGTGTGGCTATTAACTTTGTGACAAGGGATGATGACAGGATGCTGTTTGACATCCAGAAGTTTTATAACGTCGTCATCGAGGAGCTGCCATCGAATGTGGCTGATCTCCTGTGATAAGATTTTTTGATATCCAGAAGCTCGCATTTTGCTAGTATTATTTAACGAATTGGTTTCCTTTCTTTGCTGTTTAGTTTCGATAAATTTGATGTTCTGAAGCATCCGACAGTTTAATCTCACATGAATCCTAGGGATTGTCAAGTTCGACTTGTTATTTTAAAGTTTTATTTGCATGTTGTGTTTTGTACCATGCACCCTCTTTTCTTCCCTTATTATTTAGGCGGCGTTTGTTTTGTGTTAAATATATTACATGAAAAAAAAAAAAAAAAACTGGACAGCGTAAAATATTAACATATGATGGAAAATATTTTTCCAACTCTTGAAACCAATCGCACTTCCACCATTTACATTTACTCTCATCTCCATCAATCACCACTGCTGTCTCATCATCATCTCCATCACTACAACGTCCACCTCTTATCTCTATCTCCACAACCACCGTCTTGTCTTATTTTATCTGTATCTCCATCACCACCACTCCTATCTCATCTTCTTTTACGTTAAAAGCAAAATAAACTGCGTTGCTATACGTAACTTTTTCTTGTTCATGTCCCCCTCCAGTTTCTTTTCCGTTTTGAGGAGGGTGTCAGTAAGATCTTGATCACATAATCCAAACGCAATGTCATTGGAGGGTGGAGACAAGCTTGGCACATTGCGTCAGTTGTGCTGTTTCATTAATTGGTTGAGCAATCCTTCGGCTAGACGAGGTGAGGTGGGCTTTTTTTGATCTGGTATCAATAAAGCCTTTGTCTCGCATGTTATCGGTAATGGTTTCCTTCTGCTTTTTGTATAAGGTAAAAAATTGCTGCCTTTTGTGTAGGGATTAGATCTGGTCAATAATTCAGTAATACATCACAATGGGTTTCTCTGTTTTGCCTATGAGATTTCACTTATGATATCTCCAAATCGTAAATGGTATTACAGGTGCTTCAAATAAGAAGTAACTCCTACTGTAGAATTCCTTGAAGATCTTGTTTTCCTTTTCATAATTTGCATTTAGAACCATGTCAAAGGACTGGAAATAGTAAGTTGCAATCCTCAACTTTTCTTTTTTACCTTCGTATTACTAAAAGGATCGATGAAGTTGATTCCCGAAACTGAAAATCGTGATTCTTATTCTCACAAAAATTATCATTACATTAATTGTAAGAGATTGGTTTGAGAGTCAAAGAAATTTCTTGAATTCAAATATAGAAATCAATATTTAAGCAAAATTTTATAGATAAACCATGATAGTATAAGAAATACTATTAGAGAGTTGTATAAAATCATTCATGAAACTTTACATAACAGATTAAGCTTATGGATTGAGATAATTTTTTGATATGATATTATAGCCTTGTTTATTAGATGGTCATAAGTTCAAATCTCATTACCTTTACTTCTTTTCTAATTAATTAAACATAAGGTAGTGAGGATTTGAACAAATTTCAAACTCAAAAAGTTTTCATTCAAGAGGGTGCGTTAAAGAGTCATATAGAATCATTCATGAGACCTCACATATCAATCTAAACTTTTAGGTCGAGATGAATTTGACCACTATACATTTCTAACATCAAAAAATAAAATAATAAAAAATCCCGAGTAATTGGTAATGTCATTAAAGTCGGTTATATAGAATCATTCATGAGACCTCACATAACAACCTAAACTTTTAGGTCGAGATGAATTTGATCACTATACATTGGTAACATCAAAAAATGAAATAATCAAAAACCCCGAGTAATTGGTCATACCACTAAAGCCAGTCATATAGAATTATTCATAAGACCTCACATAACAGACTTAAACTTTTAGGTTGAGATGGATTTGATCACTATACATTAGTAACATCAAAAAATAGAATAATCGAAAATCCTCAAATAATTAGTCATGTTGCTAAACTCAATCATATAGAATCATTTATAAAACATCACCTAACAGTTTAAATTTTTAGATTGAGATGTATTCGACCACTATACATTGCTAATATCAAAAAATAGAATAATTGAAAATCTTGAGTAATTAACTCGCTAAAGTTAGTCATACGGAATCATTTAGCAGATCTCACCTAATAGTTTAAGTTTTTAGGTTGAGATGGATTTGATCACTATACATTGCTAACATCAAAAAATGAAATAATTGAAAATCCCGAGTAATTGGTCATGCAACTAAAGTCAGTCATATAGAATCATTCATAAGACCTCACCTAACGACTTAAACTTTTAGGTTGAGATGGATTTGACCACTATACATTGGTAACATCAAAAAATAGAATAATCGAGAATCCTCGAGTAATTAGTCATGCTCGCTAAAATCAATCATATAGAATCATTTATGAGACCTTACCTAATAGTTTAAACTTTTAGATTAAGATGAATTTGACCACTATACATTGCTAACATCAAAAAATAGAATAATCAAAAATCTTGAGTAATTAGCTACTAAAGTTAGTCATACGTAATCATTTAGGAGATTTAACCCAACAGTTTAAGTTTTTAGATTGAGATGGATTTGATCACTATACATTGCTAATATCAAAAAATTAAAAAAAATTAAAAATCCCAAGTAATTAGTCATGCAACTAAAGTCAATCATATAGAATCATTCATAAGACCTCACCTAACAATTTAAACTTTTAGGTTGAGATGGATTTGACCATTATACATTGGTAACATCAAAAAATAGAATAATCGAGAATCCTCGAGCAATTAGTCATGTTGCTAAAATCAATCATATATAATCATTTATGAGACCTTACATAATAGTTTAAACTTTTAGATTAAGATGGATTTGACCACTATATATTGCTAACATCAAAAAATAGAATAATCGAAAATCTTGAGTAATTAGTCGCTAAAGTTAGTCATACGTAATCGTTTAGGAGATCTAACCCAACGAGTTTAAGTTTTTAGATTGAGATGGATTTGATCACTATATATTGCTAACATCAAAAAATGAAAAAAATTAAAAATCTCAAGTAATTGATCGAACAGTTAAAGTAACTAAAGTGATTATAAATCCTATTAGTTAAATAGGTCCTAGAAAAAGTCCATCTATTCCTAATCTCTAATGAATTAAAAAAAAAAAAAACACCACCTAACAATTTAATTTTTTAATTAAAATGATACTTTGATAATTATACTTTTAATATTTTTTTTAAAAAAATATTAACTCTGTAAATATTTGGATTGAGACGGTGATTTGATAAATAGACTTTTAATATTGTTCAGGAAAAAAAAGATATAAACTGACCTGAAAGTACATCCTATCATAAAAAAATAAAAGAAAAAAAACTATCATTAAATTGCAAGCCTATCATTATCGTTGCTACTAGTCTTTTGTTAGCGTAAGAATGTGGGAGAATAACAATGCAAGATTAACTTCTCTACTATATGATTTCACTTTCCTCTAGGTCCCATGATTGTCAAATCACATAATTTAGAAATGTAGTGCTTGATTGGACCCACTAAAAACTGGTCAAAGCTGGAAAGCATAACTCCTGTTCATAAAATTTTATAGTCCAGTTCACGATCGACAGCCCCTTTAATCTGCTCAAACAAATGGCTACACTTTTTATTGCGGTTGTTGTAGAAGGAATAGTAAGAAAATACCTATATACATTTATATTTGTTATATTTATTATTTTATTAAAAGTTACAGGTAAAGTAGTAAAAAAATATATGTTTTTGACTCATTCAGTCAGTGATCGATTTTTATTTCAAAAAATTCCTCTTTTTATAAAAAAATCACCTTAAAATTAGCTGTCATCCGCACATTAAATTAATTTAAAATATATTAAATTTAATTTTAATTGATACGAATATTAATCTAATGATATCCCTCTCTCTTTATATGTATTGGTAATTCTATGTTACCTTTTTATTCTTTTTTTTTAATGCAAAAATATAAGTAAATTGTTTCTTCTGCATATGTAATTGAATTACAGAAAAATAATGGATTGAAGTAATCAAGTGATGGAAAAATAAATCCTATTTTACGAGTTAATTTAATCACACACAAATATAGTTTTTGGTGGAAGACACAAACAACGAAACTCCAACCTGAAATCTTATGCCTAATGGTTGAACAGACCCTTGGATTCTTGTTGTTATTCTGTATTTGTTTTACATGAGTTTTAACTGTCAAAACTCATAATTCCACGTGCCACATCTTGTCCAAAGAAGACCATTCAAAGGGCCTCATGCAAATGGTACCATCCATCTCTCCCACCACATCACATAATAAGACAATTAGCACAAGTTATAATCAAGGATTATATAATACAAAAGACATGTACCAACCCCCTTTTTTTTACTATAGACAAAGACTATGCAATTAAACAATTGTTAGATGTTAGGAAATTAGCATTAGTATTTAACGGAGTAAGAATGAAGATTACATTACTATGATGAACTAAATTGATCATAAAAAATTAACTTTTTATAATTACTAGAAACTCGTTATCACTAAACTAGAAATCGATTAGTTATAATTTTTTTCTCTAATTAATGGCATTTTGACAAGTTTAGTCCTTAATCAATACTAATTTTTTTCTCGATATAATCTTAAACATACATTATTTGTATTAATTGATTAATTTAGAAATATTTGAATGGAGAGTCTAAAATATAAAATGTAAAAATTAAGAAAAATAAGAAACTTGTTTGACCATTCGGTCTATTCGTTGCCTTGGAATTAGTCGGCAATAAATTGTACTCTTCATATAGATAGCAGCATCACCGCCGTAAAGCAAAGCAAAGCAAAAGTATTCTCTTTAATTTGCTCTCCTCTCCGATGCCTGATCTTAATTCTTGAATCAGTCAATTTTGGTTTTTTTTCCTCTTTCCGATGGAGAATTTCAGATCTAAGTCGTGCAGGGAAGGGAGGATAGAGATGGAGGGATACCATGGAGGCAAGGGAGAACCGACAAACATGCAAGATTTGAGGTCTTATAGTGTCAGCTACGCGGTTTCTGTACAGCCAAATCAATTGGGCAAAGAAGTGAAGATCAAGAAAGGGAAAAGCAATCTTGGGTCATCTTCAAAAAGCTGGAGTTTCAACGATCCTGAGCTACGAAGGAAAAGAAGGGTTGCTAACTACAAGGTGTATGCAATGGAGGGCAAGATGAAAGGGTCCTTCAGGAAGAGCTTCAGGTGGATCAAGGACACTTGCACCCAAGTTGTCTATGGATGGAGGTGATCAATGACTACTTTTTCCTCTCTGATCTCCCTCATATGCCTTTCTGAAAACAAACTGTTTCAGTGTGTGAGCTGTTGTGTTTTGGATGGGAGATAGATAGCCTATGTAATGTATTTTCTCTTCTGAGAATTTTAAATGCCATTATTTACAGTAAGTAGAAACTTCCTTCTTTGTGCTCCAAGGAAGCCAAATCTATGGTAATTGAGTTTTATGTGTATGCCTTTGCTTGAATTCCTTTGTCACTTATGAGAAAGATCTAAACAGACTGGATTCTTCTGGACATGGAATTTTCGCCTTGTGGTCACCTAATCTGGTTCATGCTATATGCCCTTGATTTCTTGGGGAAAAAAAAAGATGTTTTAGTTGATAAGTTTGTGGTTGATTGATTATCCTTATTTTTTCAAGTACAGATTTGCCTTGTTTCATAGTTTAAATCAGAAGCTAATGCTTTTATCGGACAAAAAGATGCCAATTCTTGTTATTATTGAAAAAAATGAATCTAAATTTCTGGTTGCATGTGGAAGGAATCATCTTCAACATTTGATTGAGGACACTGTATCAGTTACTTTTGCCCAGAAAACAGAAAGTTAAAAAGTACCACTTGTCTTTGATAGGCATTTCAGGACCATGATCCGCTCATGTTCTGTTCTTTCCTTTCATGTTTGGTCTGGCCATGTTTTTTCTCCAACCATATCACATCCTCCTCTAGAGGTCAAAACAGAGAAGAAAATCAAAATTTCTTCCTCCTACTTATTTTTATCCTTTGCCTCGAAGAAGAGATATTTAATTTGAATTTTCTTTGAAATTTATCCTATTATAAATCACAATCGAAATCCTTAATAAGACCTCCAAAAGTAACATCTGGTTACATGGCAAAAACAAAAAAAAACAAAACAGAGCTAGTATTAATCCCATCGCTCGAGTATATTAACCAAAGATAGGGAGGGAGTTTGTTCCATTCCCCCATAGTCCATGCTCAACACTGACCCTGTAAATTCTCACTGCAGTTATGTATTCATCATCGACACTTAAATCAAGTGACTGTTAAGAATAAGTATCTGCTTCGACAGATTGACGATTTATTTGATCAATTAAGGGGAGTAACTGCTTTAATCATCGAGACTTAAACTGAGTAACTATTAAAAATAAATATTCATTTCGACGAATTTACGATTTATTTGATCAATTAAGAGAAAGCTCGGTATTTTCTAAAATTGACCTCCAATCAAGATATCACCAATTAAGATCAAGATATCACCAATTAAGAATTAAAGAAGGTATCACCAATTGAGAATTAAAAAATATATATATAAAGAAGACGGCACATTACAAATATTTGGTAATGCCATTTGGTATTGCCATTCAGATTAACCAATGCTTCTGCCTTATTCATGGATTTAATGAATCATGCCTCTGCCTTATTCATGGATTTAATGAATCGAGTATCAATACAAAACAGGATGTGGCTTGTTGCTGAGCATGATTTGCTACATTAACATATTAAAAAAAATAGAAACTATAAGGGAAAGCTATGTAATATGTACCATTCACCAAATAACAGACCACGAAATGTGAGAGATTATTTGTAAGTGTTCTAATTTTATGGCCACAGCAATTACAAACGATCCGTGGAAAACATATTTTACATCCACAAACTTCTGCTATCTCCCACATTGGATATTGTTTTTTTTTTTTCAAAAATAAAACTGTCCCCATGCATTGCACGGGTTAGCAAGACAAAACACATCACTCAATATGCAACAACAGTATCCGATTATAAATTTACAGCAGTGAGCATTCGTGATTGACATCGGCTAATGATGTAACCTTCCATCAACATTGACGTGCAAACTCTCAATGCCCCTAAGAGTCGACTCCAAAGTCTTTATGTTGGTATTTCTACCAGAAGATGAGTGCTTCTGCTCTGAAGATAAACCAGGCAAACTTCTTTGACCATTCTGAAGCACTGCAAAGCTTGCATCGGCTGTGCGAGGACGAGAAGGATCAGAATCATTCCCAACGGCTGCACCACGACTACTGGAGACAACCGGATGCCTTGATGATACACTAGATCGCAAAAAATTTGAGCTGGACAACTGCACAGGGCCAAGCACCTTTAATAAATCAACTATCAAATAATGGCATTTATACTGGAAAAGTGTCTAAACAATAAGCAACACAAAGCTCAACATGGTGGAAAAGATTCAACAAGTATGGTACATTGGAAAACCAACACACCTGGCAGCATGCAGCAATCATGCATCAGACAGAATTGAGATACCAACCACACACCACAATATGAAATTGTATTTAATTGAAAAGGAAAAGGATTCTGATGGACTCTTTCCAGAGTAAGCCATGCATGGCATTTGTGTCCATTCGCACCCAAAGATGATATTGATCCAGGAATGATAAAAGAAAAAACAGAAAAGCTAAGAGCAATATTGGTATTTACATTTACAGGTTTATTCATCTATCTACGATAGCATGGCATTTACATTTGATTAGTACTGGCCAACTCACCGTGGCATCTTTTGATAAAGATACATCATTTGTAACAGGGCCCTTTTGTTTTGACAAATTTCCAGAATTCACAATAGGTCCAGAGTTTCTCCTTCGAGCATGATCTGTTGAAGACCAACCAGGTCTACCTTCTTCCCCACCTGCGGTTAAGTGAAAACCCAACATGACATTTTCCTATGCATTCGGATGCACAAAACTAAAATAATATGGAAAAGCTACAACTGGAAAAGTAAGGGTGGGATACTAGAAAATGAGAGGGGAGAATATGTGAGAGAGAAAATAGAAAACAATGAAACCAATAATGAAAAAGAAAAGATTGAAAGAAATGGAATTAAATATCCAATGTCAATACTCTACTCCCATAAAACACATGATGTGTAGTCCACCAAATTTCCTAATAAAACCCCAAAAAGAAAAAAAAAACATGGCAAGTGAAAACCAACTCCAATATACTGAGTAGGAATAAAACATGTTCCTAATCAAAACTATTTAAAACAAGGGGGAAAAACATCTACATTCCTAAAATCCCCAATAAGAGAAACAATTCCAAAAAACCCCCAATGATATAGTAATATGATAAAGCCAAAATCCTCAGTTTGTTAGCCATCAAGCAGCAACATGTCTACCTGACAGCCTATCAACTTTATTACCAACAGGAGGAGGAATGCCAGAGCTTGGTCCAGCACCAGGGCCCTGCAGATGAATAAATACATTAAGTTAAACAAAAAAGTAGGACTATACAGAAGATAGGTCAAAGGGTAGAAGGATATCATTGATGCTGTCCCGTACATGTGCACGAGTAGGAGGATTAGCAATCTGTGATTGCTGATATTTCAAAATCGTCCAATCAAAAACATAGTCAAACTGGAAACCTAAAACAAGAAGAAAAAAAAATCAAACGACTGGGGAAATCGGAAAATGGCTTCAAAAAATTAAAGAGTATTACCATAATAGCCCTTGGGCCTATATAACATCTTAAGGTAAAAATTGAACAGTAAAGTTTGAACCTTCACGAATAAAAAGATCACGGAAGAGTCGTTTCAGGTAAGCATAATCTGGTTTATCATCAAAACGAAGTGAGCGACAGTAATGGAAGTAGGATGCAAATTCCGTAGGATAACCCCGACATAAGGCCTGATGAGGATTTGGTGACCTTTCAAATCAGTTACATAAGATGAATGTTTACAATCAATCAACACATTATCCTGAGAAAAAGGCATACCTCAATAGAAGTTGACACTTTCTTTTCACTAATTTTTTCATATTTTTGCTTCTTTGTACCAGCTTTAAGCCCCTGCCACGGAAGACTATAGCCACATGGGGTCACAACAAAATTAACTATGCAACATGGGTGAAGCGAGATAATATTGGAGGACAGAAGTACTCACCTTCCCCTCAAGAAATACATAAGAACATATCCAAGTGATTCTAAATCATCCCTGCGGCTTTGCTCTACAAGATACAGAAAGTAATCAGGAAACATTAGTTTTATAACTGGCATCAATCAAGTTAATATCTTAAACACAAAGGGGGAACTGAAATGAAGTAAACATAATCTTTACCAATGCCAAGGTGAGTGTTCATGCTAGCATATCTTGCAGTTCCAGTCAAATTTTTATTCTCTCTGCAATTGACATAACAAGAAATATAAATTAACACCTATTTGTGTAAAATTTGATTTCCACCACTGTAATTCAGACAGCACCCTGGGAAATGAAAGATGAAACATAAATCATAAATATCATAGATCAATTAAGCCTTCTCAGAGACTTGCTTAAGAATAAGAAAGAGGTAAATACCATGGAATAAGGTTTGATCCTATTTATGAAGATTCCATAACCCATTCCCAAAAAAAAAAAAAAAAAAAAGAATAGAAGGGGGGGGGGTGTTGTGGGGAAAGCTAAACCATCCAGTCTAGAAAACCATAGAAACAAGGTCAAACAACTGAAGAACAATAACTTATACCTTTGGCAGTGTCATATACATTAATAACATACAATAAAACAACCTACTTTTGCAAATGATTAACCTGTAAGGAATGTGTTGATGTGTTGAAGTGTCTCTATACTTCTTTGCCAGACCAAAGTCAATGCAATAGACCTGAACACAATTAAATATTGAGCAACAGGGTCACACAGAACAAAAAAAGAAAAAAGGAAATCCAAATAAGAAGAGGTGCCAACCCAAGACCTGATTTGCACGCCTCCCTAATCCCATGAGGAAGTTATCTGGCTTGATGTCTCGATGAAGAAAGGACTTGGAATGAACAAATTCAACTCGATTGATCTGACAAGAAAACCACAACTAACAGAATAAACGAACCACGCAAAGGATACCAAACATTAAAAAAAAAAAAAAAAGGGAAGAAAAGAAAAGCACATGAATGTTAAACAAAATCCTACCATCTGATCTGCAAGCATGAGTACAGTCTTCAGAGACAGCTTCCTACTGCAAAAGTTGAACAGATCCTCAAGACTCGGTCCCAGTAAATCCATGACCAGGACATTGTAATCGCCTTCAACACCAAACCATTTGACATTCGGAATTCCAGCTGCCAAAGTCACAATAACTAGTAAAACACCAAAAAATCAAAAGAAACAACGAGCACAACAACAACAAAACCTTAATCCCAAGTAGTTGGGGTTAGCTATAAGGATGCTAACAAAAAGCACAATCCTCAAATTCAATCCTTGTCTTGAAAAACAAAACACAATCCTTACTTCCACCCTGCAGTATTTTGTACAATTTAGATTCATACAGCAATTGCGGATGCCTTGTCTTGACATTTTCCTGGGTAAGAATAGAATAAAACAGAATTAATTATCAAAACTAATCCACTAAAAATATCAAAGCCGCCAATTTTCTCCGTAAATTCCAGTAAATTAATTTACTGAAGAATGAATTTACAATCATTATTAAAAAACCCAAACAGCACACAATTTGATAACATACTAATGTCGATACAATTCCAGTTTTTTTTTCAAAAAAAAAAAAAACTCACAAGCTTAATTGCAACCTCCTCGTTGGTCTGAATATTAGTACCTATAAAACAAAAAAAAAATTAAAAAAGAAAAATCGAAGATTAAAAAAACAATAATAACGGCTTGAAAAAAAAAGCACAAACCGAGATAGATCTCTCCAAAGGATCCGCTACCGATCTTGCGACCGAGACGAAACTTGTTGCCGACACGCGGCTCCATCCTCAAATTCTCTCTCTTAATGTTAATAACAACTATCGAAACCCTGCCCTAATCCTAATCCTAATCCTCGTGTGATGGTTTAATTTTATTTAAACAGAGAAAAACTAAAAGAGAGCGAGTCGGCGACGGTGATGATCAACGATGAGAAGGAATATCTACTAGAATATCGGGAGAATTGGGATATGAAGCAAGGAAATGAAAATGGAAATTTTTTTTCCCTCTTTCTCTCTCAATTTTTAGAGAGAGAGAGAGAGAGAGACGGAGAGGGAGAGGGAGAGGGTGAGCGAGGAGGCATTTTTCCCTTTTTCGTGTTGGTTGTAAGATACTAGTTCTACTTTTGGTGTGATTTGTGAGGGACAGGCAGACAGGACAGCTACTTTCTTATTGCAGTAGAAACTTCGATTTAGTCCTTAATTATATACGCATTGTTCAATTGAGTCTTGAAACCAAAAACTTTGTCAATTAGCCGTAAAGCGTCTCGCACGTTTGTATTCAAACTTACTAAATTTCATTTGATTTGAAATTCCATATTAAATCATTATGTCTTTTTTAGTATTTATATTTTTTTATAGCTTAGTACTATGTTATAGTTTTTTTTTTTTTTGTTAAAGTACTTTTTAATGTATTCGAATGATATGTATTATTTTATGAGATTTATAAGTTTTCGTCATGAATAAAACATATACACATAATATTTTTTAGCCAAATGATATATCTAGATAAAAACTTGGAGAATCATGTCAAAGACATGAATGGCTAGACACTTCTACGCTATTAGAAAACACCTTACGAGAGAAATATGATAGATTATAGTTCAAAAAATCAAACAAACTCTTTGAAATAACATAAAATACATCTAATAAATACAAACACACTTGTTAAAGTTATTTTTTTCTAATATACATCAATAATGAAGATATGATGCTCTTTTAATTGTTATTTGTTAATATCGAAAACATTTATTTCTTACTTGATGTCAAAAGACATTGACAACAAAAAAACTCATTTATTTCTCAATTGATGTCAAAAGACATTGACAACAAAAAAAGCTGATTATTCTATCTTTCTTTCATGCAATAGTCAAAAGTGCTTAAAGTTAAAAGTTTTGAATCTCTTTTCTTGCTTACTATTCGTCTGTTTTATAACACCTACTTTGTAGTCTTCTCTAGCTTATCTTTTTTATTTTTTTTCTTATTTCTTATACTAACTTGATTGTCAGAGAGTTTTCATTTAATAGAAAAAAACTTATTTTGTAAGTATTCCATGTAGTGCAACCATCATTTGTCAACAAAGTATCATCATTCTATCAATAGACATTAAAGGTCACATTATTTTTAAAAATTCTACTGCCTCATCATTAATTTTTTATAGTCTCTTTTTTTTCCTTTAAACTTTTGTCTGTTATATGTACAATTGAAACTGTTTAAAAATGTATATTAGATATTTTGAAAAAGAGTTGGTAATCAACTTTGATTAAAAACACTAACTTGTGATTTTCAAGAGTAAAAAAATGAAATAACAATTTAATTCAGATTTTCAATACTAAAAAAATTAACTTATAGAATTGGATTAAATAACAATTTATTTAGATTTTTCTTCCAATTTGCTCAATGTATGGCATAAAAGGGAAGCATTTTGAAGAAAATGGGATGGGTAAATTAATAGACTTCAACAAAAGGAATCAATGGAGGGGTTTCTGAAATATTTGATACCTAATTGATAAAATAATTGTTTGGGTCTTAATTAAGAATCGGGTAAATACATTAGGGTCTAATTTGAGGTTTTCCTTAATATGTATAGATATAATCGAAAGAGCGAGAGGACTTTCTTATTCATTGCCACTATCAATTCTATATTCAATTGTCCGTGTTTCCTTCTTTCCGGAAACGACATGTAAGTTCTTTCCCAATCAGTCCTATCTTCCATTTCATATTTCTCTTGTTTTCCATTTTTTTTTATAAAGAAAAAAAAAACTTTTAATCTTATCAGGTTTGGAGAGCAAATTATACATTAGTTCATCTAGTTTCGATAAACAAACTAATTAGTCCATCTTATTTTCTAGAAATGAATTAATTAATCTCTCTCATTACCAAAACTAATAATTTAATCTCTATATTTAAAAATTTACTTATAAATTAATCCTTTTTGTTTCTTTTTAATTTATTTTAATTTTTTGTTTTAAATTGTAGAAAAAGAAAAAAATATTAAAAAGTATGAAAATATCGATTAGAAAATAAGAGATTTCATGAAATAAAAATAATATTAAATTAAACATATTCAACACTGATTAAAGAATTAAATAATAATTTTCGAAATAAGGAGGTTAATTAATTTATTTCTTGAAATTAGAGAGACTAATTTATAATTTACTTGTGGTTTGGACGAATTTTTATTTATTTTTCTTTTCTAAATCAATTTGTTTTTTCAGGTCCTTTTTTTTTTCGTTTTAAGTTTCTATTCCTTTTCATTTTGCATTGATTTAATTTTTTTTTTTTTATCCTATTGAAACCTTACAATCTGATATGAATAAATAAATAAATAAGCAGTTGCCATTTCGGTCACCACAAGGCTACCTATGCACTGCTACGCTACAAAAGTTCAACGTTCCATTTGATAGAATTGGTGACAAAAACCAAGGCATTGACACTAACTAGATCATACATTTGTTCAAAAAACACGTCTCACTATTTTATTTAATCATGCCTTGTTGGTTATTATCAAAGATGTTTTTTTTTTTAATTGAGAAGTTATGATCAAGTAGTTTGATAGACTAAATTATAAATTAGTCTTTTTAGTTTTAGAAAACAAATTAATCAGTTTCTTTTGTTTCAAAAATTAATTTTTTAATTTGTTTTTTAAATAAAAATAGAAAAAAATAAATAGATATTATGGACACATCCATAATTTTTTTATTTTTTAATAAAATAATATTAAATTAAGTAAGGTTAATGTAGTAAAGAGATTAAATAATTAGTTTTTAATTAGTTTTTCAAAGAAAAAAAACTAATTAATTTATTTCTAAAATCTAAAAAGACTAATTTATAATTTAATAATATATTATGCCTTTGTTAGTTTTCCCATGTACAATTTATCTTGCTTGCGATATGAAAGTCATTGCCGTAGGCATAAAATAATAATATATTTTTTAATTTTCTTTATAAATTTGTATTTAATATCAATTTAGTATTTTTAATCCATCATTGTATTTTGTTTTTATTTTATTGAATCAAATACATGTGTTTTTTTATGCCTACAACAATAGATTTTAAATTCATACGAAAGTTAGGTTGTCATGGGGTGGGGTGGGGTGGGGTGGGGTACTAACCATAATGGGACTCTTTTCATTTGATTTTAACTCTTCATCAAGCATTCATGAACCAGATTGAGACTGGGAGACAATGTTACCACCGACACAAATTTGCAGAACAAGACATCGTTGCTGCTGCTGTTGTTGTTGCGTGTTTCTCAAATCTATTTTCAAAATATGCCAACGTTCCCAAGTTCAAAGAAAGATCTCCTTTTATACCTGCTTCTTCAGCTTCCTGCTTCTGTGACCATTCTCTTTACCCTGAACTCCCATCATGTTTGTCATCAAGTAGAGCCAGTTCTATACTTTGAGCAGCTGTATTAATGGACATTTGGTTTGGAAATTGGCATTACACTTAAATGGTCCTTGTGTTTTTCCTCCTTTATTTGTCACTATTGATCACCAATATACTAACCAACGTGACGAAGAGTCATCTTATTATACTTCTGAGTAGCACATTCAAAGCTGTTAATAAACTCCCCGAACATAATCTGGTCCCCATGGCAATTCTTAGTATATTTTTATATCGGAATGTACAGGAAGAAGACAAGGAAGCAAAGATGTTAAAAATTTCACTATTTTCACAAGCTGTTAACTTCTCAAATCATACAGTTAGTGTACATACAATACAATACTCGATTGCTCTGTATAATGAACTGGGGACCTGCACGAACCCACTATAACCGGATAAAGAATTACTAAGAAACGAATCAAAAAGGCTATGAATAAGAGACTGCAGAAGGCCAAAAACCCTACAAATTTTCCAAACAACCACAAAAAAATAATGGAGTGTATTAACCAGGGGAAGGCATACAATTTGGCAAAATCAAGGTCGAAGACTTCTTCTGCAGCTTCCCTTTCAATTGCCTGATCTTTGCATCTACCCTAGCGGAGAACCCAATCTTGGTTTCTTGTCTCGCTTTGGACCGTTCCCTTCTCCACATGTGTTGATCCATAACATCCTTTTTATAGTACTTGATTTCTTGGATGATATGATGATCCATTGGATTGAAACATCTTTGGAATGATATGTGAGCCAGGTAAGGCAGAATACAAACGACTGTCACCAATAATATGGTACACCAGTAGATAGGCGCTGGACCAAGAGCTTCAACTAAAATTTTGTAGGCGTCCTGAGAATATCGTGGAGGCAGCATCCCAAAAAGTAACAGAAACAAGTACCAAGTGGCAATGCTTCCCCAGACTAAAAGGTGTTGTATCCATGTAAAGTGGCTCATTGTGAGTGCAATCTGAAAGTTTACAACACAGATGATGCACGAGAACATAGTAGCACCAACGGCAGCCATATCCGCAGTTTGGCCTCCAGCGCGGAATGCTTGGTTATAAAAGATCATGATATTGAGGATGAAAATGACAAGAGAGGAATAGAGACCGTTACCCATCCACCCAAGTATTCTATACCAATCGAAAAACAAATTTTTGGGCCCTTGCTGATACAGTGCTGGGAACTGTAGAATGAAGAAATAACATAATTATCATAGCAGAGAGAGACCTGGTAAATCGAAAATTGCATTAAAATCGCAAAGTAATTAATGGGACTAACCTGTAAGCAGACCTCAGCAGACACATCTTGTTCGAAAACTCCAAGTGAAATGACAGGCAATGAGGTAAGAATGACATTGAACAATAGCATGTACCAGTCATTGTAAACTGACTGACCAGAAAAGGCCGT